TTGTAGATCATTATTTAAAATCGATTTACTCAAAATTGTTTATATGTAAAAATGGGCTGTTTTAATAGATCACACCCCATATATGATATAAGTCCCATACATTTCATTATTATAGAATTATTATATAATAAAATATTATATGTAATTAAAGCAACCTCTCTATAATCTTAAAATAAACCTAATGCTACTAAAGCTTTATATCTATTATCATTAATTTTACCAATCTCCCTTTAAAAAAATTTACGAGAGTATTGTCTATTTATTTTATAGAATCTACAGCAATCGATCTGGAGACTTCTTAATGAATTTTTTATTTGTTTGAGCTTATAGAGCTTTATTTAAAGAAAGATATTTTGAAAAATTAGAAGTGAAAACTTGAGAGATGTGATAGTTTAAATAAAATTAGTTCCTGCTTATTATGTACACGATTACAAAAATCATTCATCTCCTTAACCTTCAAAAAAATTTAAACTCCTATTCTTCTCTTTATTTCTCTTATATTTAATCATCACGACTGTTAAAATAGGTATTTCATGATCAATATAGTGTCTACGCTGTGACGGTCGAGGTTCTCCACGAAGAATTTTCTCGGTTTGTAATTCGGTTGATGTTTTCTTTACGAATTTCTTCGATAATTCTATAAACACTAACGTGTGCTTTTCCAACCAAGTTTTTCCATCTGTTGTGCCATGTTTCTACTATATTCTGTGTTCTGGGATAACTGGGAATCTGGGATACGTACCCAACAAGTTCATGCACAATCAAAATGCTGGTGGAAATCTTGGAGGAGCACGTTGTATAGTTCCATTCCTAAGAACACATTGAATTCTATGATTCCCCTTGCATTTGAAGGCATTAGAGGTTTAATTTGATCAAAGGTAGTTGGAATTTCAGAAGAAGGTAGAAAGGCGAGAGCTGTAATATAGCGTAATTTAATGCTCTCATCATTTCCATATTTAGCGGCCAATCCCTCTGCTTGGGATGATTAGAATTTGAACCACAATTTGAGCAGCATTAATAGCTGCTCGTTAACATAATAAATTAAATATATGAAGCTCTTTTTGAGATTAACTCTTGATGTAAATTGATAAAACGTTAAAAGTATGACATAACTAATAAGTTACCTAGGCAATTTTATTTACATCAGCCAATCATACGAAATTCTCTATGAAACTCATGATAATTTTCTGCGGTGATATTTATTAAAATTATTAAAAATTATATAATATCACCGCAGAAAATCATCGTCCATATGATAAAGCACAATAAGCTAACTTCGGTCAAGCCACTAACGGCCATTTATCCTTGCGGGAAAATAAACGCACCATCATTCTAACAATTGGTGCAACGGTAGTTCCAAATGAATGCACTGTAGCTCAACTTAACCAGTTATTACTATTTTTAAAATTTGACCTACAATAAAATCTCAGGGGTTAATAAATGGCAATTTATAATTAGCCTTATTTAGGCAAAAGATTAGTTTTTGAATTGCAGTTAAGTATGGTATGATAAACATTTGCCCCTCTTCGTTGTGAATTGTCCTTTTTTTTTCAAAAAACGATTTAACGAAAAATAACGATAATGACGATTCCACCAAAAACAAATGCTTTAAACGCTAATCGTTCTTTAAATGAAAGTAGCAATAAAATGAAATTTCCTACTTCCTCATTTTCACCATCACCTCCTTCGAGCTCATATCTCAATCTGCCACTTGATCCAAAGAGTTGGAATTCCGCTCATGTTGCTACATATCTTACTTATTCATTACAACTTTATCCTCCCGAAACCGTATTTGATTTATCTTATTATGTTCAAAACGATCTAAAACTTACAGGACGCAGATTTTTGAGGCTTGAAGAAGAAAATTTAAAGCAAGTTGGATTTAATGAATCATGGATAAAGCTAATTTTGTTGAGCGTTAAAGCTTTGAGAAGAGAGCAATCGAAAGTTAGGAGAGAACAATTGAAAGAAAAGATATCGTTGAAGGGATGTGGAATTGTAAGGGAATCAGATGAATTGGAATGTAAAGAATTCAATACAATAGAAGCATATGAAGGTAATAATATTTGGTTTGTCTGGCGTTTTTTTTTTTTTAAAAAAAAAAAAATAAAATAAAATAAAATAAAATAATTAATTAAAGTTTAATTGTCTATATTTTTATTTCCGAAAAAAAATTTTCGTGCAGATTGCTCACCCAAAATGTCACCTACATTAAATTCCTCTTCAAATGTTATGTCTAATGATATTTCAAAAAAATTACAAAACGCAGCTTTCTCAGACTTGGTTGCTTATGACAAAGAATTAATTAGACATGAATTATTTCAACGAAATAATATTAAAATGGAACCCGACAAAGAAATGGATATATCAGTGTCATTTTCACGAGTATTATCGAACGCTTCAGAGTGGGCCAAGAATGAAATTTTTGGACGCACAACCTACATGAGTGGGTTTACGCAAGGTGTCATGCTTGGAGGATTTATTGTATGGACATGCATGAGAGCGATTAGATAGATGATGGAATTTTTCAATTTATTTTTACTAAGCATCGCATTAACTTTGTCAGTATTTAGCATTCATTATTTTTACTTGCATTCCAATTAATTCCAGTTAATTATTTTGTTATTTCATTTGTCATAACACGCGCATTCATTTGTGAATTTATGATTTACGCATTGCGTATGAATTTTGTTCGAATGTTTATCAAAATACAGCATTTTACCCAAACATATTTTTTCACGTTCCTCGTTATAAAGTCTGTTCAAAAAAGTGGTTATTTCTTGTTTGACACTTTATGTGAAATTCGGTATATGTCTACAATTTTTAAAGTAATTACTATAGGATATAATTTAACCACTGGTTAATATTGTAAATTTTAACCGGGGTTAAATGATGTGTCTTTTGCTCGATTAGCAGTTAGTGATTGGACCCGAGTTGAATGCAGAAATCTGGGTGAGAGTGGGTGGGTCAACGCGCGGTAAGCCAGGTGGTCAACAATGTTCAAAATTCAATGTGAGAACATTGTAGATAATTCAAATTTGTACACTGGTGGTCAACCCACGGGATAGAAACATGTATACTAGCCAATTAAGAAAGATCGTAAAAAAGCGCCTAAAATAAATGAAAGAAAACTAATTGTGTGCTATTACTACAAGTTTTAAAATTAATGATTCAATAAAAGTTAATCAAATTTGTTAGTGATTTATAGATGTTGTAGGTGGTGGATTCGGAATATTGTAGATTCAAAACCAGTGAGGGGTTTCATAATTAATGATTCGGCATCCGATTGGAGCAACTACTAAGCAAGTCTGGAGTGGCTCCAACCCAAGTTGGAGTAGGTTGAGGACTAGTTCAACCTAACCCAACCCAACCCAACCCATTAACAACCCAATCTTTCACAAGAACCTTCACATATATGTCCTCACTAGCCACCTGAATGACTACTATGCCAAATTGATTTCTAATTGGCATCATTGACTTTTTTAGTTTTATTGTAAATTATTCGTGAGGACTCAACATAAATGAGCTTATTAATTTTTGTCGATTCTGCCTGTTACTATTATTTAAACTTAAATTTTATTGCAGGGCGGAGAGACAAAGTTTAGCGAGTAAGTTTCAAAGAGACAATATAGGAAAAAAGCCAGATATTATGGCCTTAATGAAACATAAAGAGAAGTATTTGAATGATTTACTTACGTACTCGAACATATACCTCATTAGAAATATCTTCTAGACTAACTCGAAGTAAAGGCAGGATTATATAAGTCCCCTCACTTTGTTCTTTGCGATCCGTACTGTTTTTAAAAGCCACACCCCTCCACTAAACGACAACATAAGATTGCTTATATGGGCTAGGTGCTGGAGAAAGGGACCAATTGACAATTTTTTCAAAATAAATTTTTTAAGCTTAACTAATTTAAAATTAGTTCAGGAACATTTTTCACTTAAGAAAGAAATACTGGTACATTAATAAAATTTTATAGTATAATCTTTTGAAATTTGTATTTTCCTATAAGTTAATATAGATTTTATAATATAAAA